CTGAAATCAATAAAAAAAAATTTTTTTTTTAAAAAAAGAAAGAAATGTTTGTTGCAAAATAAAGCTCCCAGCATGTGAGGGCCACGCCTCAGGCCGAGCCTGCCGTGAGGAGGAGCTGACGCATGGAGGGAGGCCTGTCAGGCAGGGGCGGCTTCCAGCGCGGCCGGGAGGAGCCAGGAGCCGCTCACAGCAGCCTCGGCCTCCACGTCTTCCGTCTCCCGCCTCAACCAGAGCTCGCCAGGACCCTCCTGTGACGCGGGGCTGACAGGTGGCATTTGTGAAAGGAAACGACGCGTGAATATGGAGTCTCTTAGACCGGTCCTGCCAGAGGGATTAGCGCAAGAGAAGGTCAAGGTCAAGGATAAGTCCCCAGCGCCCCCGCCCACCACTGTTACCTGTTTCTATTTTACTTTGTTAAAGCTTTATCAAGTTTAAAAAATATGTTTTTATGGATTTCAGAGAGGAAGGGAGCGGGGAGAGAGAGAAACATCAATGATGAGAGAGAATCATGGATCGGCTGCCTCCTGCACACCCTACACTGGGGATCGAGCTTGCAACCGGGCCTGTGCCCTGACTGGGACTCAAACCCTCACCTCCTGGTTCATGGGTCGAAGCTCAACCACTGAGGCATCCGGCCAGGCTGTTTACCTGTTTCTGGTTTCCTCCAGAACCTTCTTGCAAGTCACATCCTCCCTAAAGCAACTGACGCCAAAATCAGACGTACAACCCTGACCCTGTGGTAACTGAACCCTCGGGAACTCCAGGCTGTGACAACGTCCACTCTGAGACATGAATGGGAACCCAGCTTGCGTGTCCCTGACGCAGGTAAAAGTTCTTACCATTTGCAACAGCATGGATGGAGCTGGAGAGCATTATGCTAAGCGAAATAAGCCAGTCGGAGAAAGATAAATATCACATGATCTCACTCATTTGTGGAATATAATGAACAACATAAACCGATGAACAAAAACAGATCCAGAGACAGAGAAGCATCAATCAGACCATCAAACCTCAGAGAGAAGGTAGGGGAGGGTGGGGGTGAAGGGAAGAGATCACCCAAAGGACTTGTATGCATGCATATAAGCCTAATCAATGGATACAGACCCCAGGGGGGTGAGGGCATGAGTGGGGGGGAGCGGGGTAATGAGGGGATAAGGACACATATGTAATAACTTAATCAATAAAAAAATTTTTTAATAAAAAGAATCAGCGGCTGATTTCCCGTCGCCAGGAATGGGCAGGCGGAAGAGGGAGAGGCCGTCACGCTGTTCGCCGAGAAGTGCTCACGTGGGTTTGGGTGTGAACCGAGAGGCCGCCTGCTCGGGTGCTGGTGGCTCCTGCGCTGACTCACGTGTTTCAGCCCAAACATGCAGAACCTCTGAGTGCCTTCCAGCCCCGAGGCCTGGCTGTGCTGACCTGCCCTGTGCTGGACGGCGACAGGGCGCAGCCACAGGAGGAGGCTCTGCGCCCGCCCTCCTGCCCTGTCTGCTGCGTCTGTCCTCAGAATACTCCGATTCCCGAGGCCGAGGTGAGGACCTTGCGTGACCTGTGGTGGTTTGGCGGAATCTCTGTCCCTGAGCAATAGGACGAGGTGTAAACCAAATTTTTGAAAGAGAAGAGAGCATCC